AAATGAAGGGAGCTTTTTTCGAGGATAAAGGGGGAGGGGATAGCAGGCTTTAAAATTTATACATCCTTATGTTGGGCTTGACAAACAGGAACAAACTCTTCCGTATCAGCAAAAATGTATTTATCAAAAAATCTCCATAAATATTATAATTTATCAATCTGCACAGAGTAAATGAGGCAGATTTACTAAAAGAGTTGAACATCTTTTTAGAATGTATGAATATTCACGGCAATTATCCAATCATGTGAAAGTCATGATTAATACCCAATCGTGTACAGATAAAATATGTAAATAGGAATTTTCTTGTCACCTGATTAGATAATTGAAGTGAATATTTACACAATTTATTCTGTAAAAATTCACAATACCTTTAGTAAATTGGGCTTAGTGTGCGTATGTGTGTTTATATAGCTTGCAGAAAAGCATATGTGTAGAAGAGTCTAATTTTTTTAAGTTATTCTTTGTCCTGAGATTTATATGTGTCTGAGAGACGTGTGTCAGAGTAATTGGGCAATATTTGTACAAGGACTGTGGCATATGTGTATACTTTAGGTAGGCTTAGGCTCTATTTAACCACTCCCATTGGTATGTGCCATCTGTCCATCCCTAGATTGTATAATTGCTTTTCTCAGTGTGATTCTGGGTACCCTGGGTTCTTCACAATTCTAGCACTGCCCCTGGTTTCATGTCTCCTGAGTAGTCCCAAACACCAAGAATACAATCTAAAATGTCAACTATGACATATAGAAAGACATATTCATCTTTTCGCACTTACAGTCAGTTATTTGTGTATGACACAATATAAAATTTTAGCTCAAACCCTCCCCTGGACTGCCATCATGCAAAAAGTTTGTGAAATGCATAAAAAGACATAGGGCTTGATTTACTAAAACTGGAGAGTGCAAAACTTTGTGCAGCTGTGCATGGTAGCCAATCAGCCTCTAACTTCAGCTTGTTCAATTAAGCTATGACAAATAAAACTGAAAGCTGATTGGTTTCTATGCAGAGCTGCACCAGATTTAGCTTTAGTAAATAAACCCCATAGTGTATTCACTCTTCTTTGCAGGCTTTTATTTCAGAGAATTTTCTCAATTTTCTTTCACTCTGGTGGCCAACAGAAGAGGAACTTTGCCCAAAAGGGGAAGTTCTGCTTGTATCCACAACCCCTTTAGCAACTGGCACTTTTTGGGATGGGGGGGAACGTGTACCTGGTTTGGACAGCCTTTTGGGACATATCACAGGTCCCATAAGATTACAGGACCATTCACAAAGCACAGCATGGCTTCCACATGTGCAGTGGGAAGCTGGCTGTGCTGGTTTCCCTTGTAGTTAAGATGTGGGCACCTGGGCCAAAGCCAGTTTTAGAATTGGCTCTGGTGAGGACAACACTGGATCCCTAAGTAAGTGTCTTTATTTTAAAAGTCAGCAGCTAAAGTATTTGTAGCTGCTGACTTTTTGTTTTTTTTTGGGAGGAGACTGGAGCTCCTTTTTAAGAATAGTTTGTGGATTCATTAACCCCCTACATTCTGGAGTGTTAACCCATCCCCACTTGCCCATTTGTTCTAAGACAATTTGATATCAGCATACACAGCTGCAATCAACACTGATTTTTTTCTTCGCTTAGTTACGCTTTTAGGCAGACCTTACAGTAAAATGCAAGGTCTGCATATTCTGCCTAGGCCTCCTTCACAAACTAGCTATTAGTAGTATGTGTAAAAATATGCTTACTTCTCCCCTGTTATATGTTTGTGATGCCTTGGATGAAATCGTACTCCTTCTGGATAAATCCTGGGGAAACCAGAGCAGTCAAATCTGGAAGTGGTTCTGCATTCCCCAGAAATCATCCTGGAAAGTTGGTGGTGTCATGCCCAGTGAAGCAGGAGATAGGGGTCAAGCAAGTATACATCTGGATTTTTTCATTACAGGTATATTTTGCACCTACTAACAGTAGGTGGTTTTAAAGAGGGAGAGGACCTGGGCAATTTGAGCAAGTATTGCATTTTAATACAAGGTCCACTTCAAAGAGAAGTTCAGGATTTAAAAAAAATATATTTAAACTCACCACTGCCTCTACACCAAGAACTGAGAGATCAAAGACTGCTGATCTCTCTGTTCTTGGTCTTCAGAGAGCAGATAGCTGATGACTGTCAGTCACTGGTTCTCTGCTCTGCCCCTCCAGCTCTCACTGAAGCGCTGGCTGTGGAGGGGGCAGGAGTTGCTGGCTCAAGCTAAGAGAGAGATTCAGCCAGTTGTCGGCTGAATACAGGTCACAAGAGTGCAGAACGACATGCACTCCTGTGATCCCCAGGGGAAGGAGCTTTAGCCCTACTTCTCCCTTCAATTTTAACAGCCATATCATATTTCTCAAGTGCACTTTCAGGGAAACAACAATCCTTTCTGAGAAATAAATGCCTGTTGTTTATAGCAATCAGGGGCATGTAGTAGAATGAACAGGATTAGGACCTAAAAGTAAATGATTCTCAGAAGGCTATAGCTAAAGAGGTTTGATGTCAGAATCAAAGTACCGTATTTTTCACTCCATAAGACGCACTTTTTCCCCCCAAAAAATGGGGAAAAATGTCTATGCGTCTTATGGAGCGAATATGGAGCGGCCGGCCTAGTATTCCCCCCGTCGCCGCCACCGTGTTAGAATACCGGGCCAGTCGCTCGGCTCTTCTGTGCAGCAGAACATGCTCCTTGGTCCAACCTGTTCCTCAGTCCAGCTGTGTCCTCATCACCGCTGGTTTCACTAGCTGTCTTCTCTCCTCCGCACCGGCATCTTCAATGTGGGCACTCGACTGTGACAGCTTGCGGCTTCACAGCCAAGTGCCTATTGCACATGCGCGAGAAGAGCTGCGCTTTGTGATTGACCCTGTAGTCTTCTGGGAACTGTCACATGTCCTAGAAGACTACGGGAAGGGAGGACAACTTCCACTTCTGATCGCCTAGGCGATCGCAGCGGACGTGGGAGCGGGTACCTGTCAAATTCGGGTACCCACTCCCCAAAGGTCATTTCCTGCACTATGTCTGCAGTCTCTGGTCATCTCCTGTACTATGTCCGCAGTCTCTGGTCATCTCCTGTAGTATTTCCGCAGTCTCTGGTCATCTCCTGTACTATGTCCGCAGTCTCTGGTCATCTCCTATACTATGACTGCAGTCTCTGGTCATCTCCTATATTATGTCTGCAGTCACTGGTCATCTCCTGTACTATGTCTACAGTCTCTGGTCATCTCCTGTAGTATGTCCACAGTCTCTGGTCATCTTCTGTAGTACGTCTGCAGTCTCTGGTCATCTCCTGTACTATGTCTGCAGTCTCTGGTCATCTCCTGTAGTACATCCGCAGTCTCTAGTCATCTCCTGTAGTACATCTGCAGTCTCTGGTCATCTCCTGTAATATGTCTGCAGTCTCTGGTCATCTCCTGTAGTATGTCTGCAGTCTGTGGTCATCTCCTGTAGTACAACCGCAGTCTCTGGTCATTTCCTGTACTATGTCTGCAGTTCATTGGTTCAAAATATTTTTTTTCTTGTTTTCCTCCTCTAAAAACTAGATGCGTCTTATGGTCAGGTGCGTCTTATGGAGCGAAAAATATGGTACATCCCCAGATTTGCTAGTTAAGACAGACCCTAAATATTTTAGACTTTAGGCTGCATATCTGCCTTTCCTACAATTAGTTATATCAGCAGCTCCTTAATTAAATAATACCCATTTTTTAAATAAATAAAATTAGGGACCTTTAGCAAGAACTAGAAATAAACACCTTATGCCCATAATCTGATATGTCAACCTCACTTTTAAGATATAAATTGTGATACAGTATAACTCTACTATGTTTTGTTTGTTTTAAAGTAGTTGTGAACATACTGAACAATGTTATAGATACTTTGTAATACAGCCATAACAAGGTTAAAAAGTTATTTCATGTGACTGTGCATTTCTTCTTCCTGATAGTGGGGGCCGGTGATTACAGGACACTCTGCAAACACACAGTGTGCCTGCATTCCATGGTCTGTTTGAGCCTAAAGCAAGGTGCAGGCCATGCTTGAACAGGGAGCATGTTCAAGAGGCATTGGGAGGAGGAGTGTGCCACAGGCAAGCTGTGATTGGTTGAGTGGTGTGGTCACTGAACAAATGCCCCAATACAGGCATGCTATGTGTGTGTACAGTATCCTGTACCTCTGAATAGTCACCCAAAGGATGAAAACCGATCATGCAAGCACAGATCAGGTTCTTTAGAGTAAGGAAGAAAGGTGACTGGCAGGATCAGCCAGGTATTTCAGCTGGAAGAAATACATAAAAAACTATAAGACTGTGATTTATAAAATGCACATACTGTATGTGAACACCAGGGGCGGACTGACCATTTGGAAACTCGGGCACTGCCCGAGGGTCCGGGGTCAGTAGGGGGCCCCATGAGATGCCCCTGGTACCTTTTTCATAGGCTCTTTGAGTTTGGGAAGGACTCAGGGGCCCCATGATCCCCTATTGCCCGGGGGCCCCACGAGTTGTCAGTCCACCCCTGGTGAACACACACATAGAAAACAAAAATAATATTTAGGGTAACGTATACTTTAATCATGATAAATAATATGGGATTTCTTTTTTTGATAGTGCTTAATGAGTGATTTGAACCATTCAGGACACCTATTTTCTATTGACAGTAAACATTTCAGAAATGTGTTTATTGAAGGATTATTAGAAATTAGCATTCAACATTCTTTAAGGGATCGATTCTGTCTTGGATAGATTTAATTATCTAGCTAAATTCCAGCATTGCATAACTGAGTATTGTCAGCTGCAGGCTATAATCCACCATAGTAAGGTTAATTTACTTTATGGCGGTGACTGTATAAGGCACACAATACAATCAAAATGTAAGAAAAATGAATTGTGCTTTTCTACTTACTTGAATAAGCCAGCTTGACTGGCAAGGAATTGCTTTTTTTTAAACTGAAAGGTATTGTCACGTTTATATGTTCTAATATACTTTTCTTTTTCTTTTTTTTTTTTTGTTCTTTTCTTTCAGACACAAATAAGCCCTCGGGAAGGCTGGCAGGTTTACAGCTCAGCTCAGGACCCCGATGGCCGCTGCATCTGCACCGTGGTGGCTCCAGAACAGAACCTGTGCTCCCGAGATGCAAAAAGCAAACAACTCCGGCAGCTTTTAGAAAAGGTCAGTGAGCTCCGTCATCTGTTTGTTTTCCCAGATCATAATAGCCACTGCTTTTCAGTCTGGGTTTATTATCTTTTATGATTTGCACATGTTTAAAAGCTTTCTTTTTTTTATTTTGATTATTGTACTAAATATAGAGATACACAGATCAGATGTGAGAATAAGCTTTTGTTAGATTCTTTACTAATTAATTGTTTTAATTCCAAGAAGCCAGTGAAATACACACTCTTAAATGTCTAGTTATAAAAGGTTGAACGTCAGATTCACTTTAGGCTTGATATAAATATGGCATTAAATTATTCTCTGTCATATTCAGTTGGATGTGTTCTTGTTTTCATTTGCTAATGTTAATGTCATTATATTTACCATATTTCTAAAGCAACAAATTTGTGCTTTGGGTGGTTATGTCTGAACAGTGGCTAAGGGAGAAATTTAGCTTGGTTCAGGAACCTATGCCCTTTGCTTCAGCCCACAGTATTTTGCCCTTTAAAAAGCCAAAATCAAGCTTTCTTGCCACATTTCACACACTCCCCTTCTTCCTCAGCAACTTCTCTGTTCATATCTCTTGTTTCTCATTTCCACAGATGTGAATAGCAGCCATTTGCATGTGATTTAATATGTTACGCTATGATTTATCGTGTCAATAATATATTTCTGAGCAGAAGCTGTATTTTTACACACAAGTAAAATGTAAGTGAAATGTACAAGGGCAGACATTTATCAGTCTGCAGAAAGCTACGGAAAATGTGCACAGGAGTCAAGATAAAAAGAATTACAGCATTAAGTACACTTACTGAAATAGAAGTACCTTCAATATAAAGCAGTAAGGTAAAAGGGCAGTGTCTTGTGTGACAGAAAAGGTGATGCATATCAAAGTGTTTCTGGCATTGCTTGAGAATATTCATTAACTAAAATAATTCTTGCAGACATCATTACCCTAACTCCTCAAATCCATGTCCTCTTAAAATTTGTTATAAGGACTGCACAGGAAAACCATTGATTTGCTGATCTAAAACCTACGCCTCTCATATTCCACAAACCCAGACACCCCTATCATAGGGGAGACCACTGTCTGTGCCCAGTACAGACTGTCTGTTCATAGTCTGAGCAATACCGATCGACCCAGTGCTATTAACACCCCACATGCCAAGGATAAATATTGAAACCCTATTGCCACTGTCATAAAAGTAATTAGTATTAGCCAAATAGCACAAATTGTGATAATACATACAGTAAGTAGCCAGTGAGGGCAACAGACAGATAATTGTGGTTATACATGGGCAACACATTGGTTATTGCAGCAAGACACTGGCAAAATACTTGGTGCATTGCATAAAAGAAAACTATATTTAGTAGACCATGTATAACATACCATTTAAAAGAGAACAAATGACATACTCAGCAAATATGTTTTGCAAAAAATCAATATTATATTTAGTTAGACAATCACCATACAAAGCTCTTCTCCATTGTCACAGTTTGTCGCTCACAATAAAACACAAAATGCTTTTAACAAAACAGAATTCACTACAAAATAATATACCAGCCCCAACATAACTTTAGTGGTGAGTTTACCTTAATGTGACCCTGTCAACACACCATTATTTCTATAACATAACTGCTCAAAAGAAAAGGCAATATAGTTACTTTTCTAGCTTCCCAAGTGTTGAAAGGCCACTGCTTCGCTATTCCTGGCACGGTGTGTTTTCCACATTTCCAGGTATGTGGAACATCTGCTTCCCCTCCACGCAATGCAGTTTGTGTATATATATATATATATATATATATATATCATACAACAGGGAGAGGACCCGTTCATGCAGATTCAAAGGCAACATTGAAAATACACAAATGCTTTAAATACCACATTTGTGGGATGTCTTTAATGCTTCATGTGGTGCTCCAGAACAGTAGAATATTTAGAGACAGTCTTAATGGCAGTGTACACTGAGAGTGCATATTTGAAGGAGGAATTTATTTACCGTACTTATTTTACAGTTAGCTTAGCATATCATAGCAGCACTACAAACTGATTTATTGCAGTTTGGATATAGTCCTTTAAAATAAAGGGGGAGGGATGCCATGAGATTCCCCTGAAATTCCACTCAGACCCCTATCTAGGCATGATGTCTCGGTGGCCAGGAAAGGTTGTGTAATAAGCATATGTTACTCCTTCTTAAACCTTCCTTAACTAGACCAGGCCACATGCCTTTCAACATTAGAGGGGATATCTTTCAATGTTGGATGGCAATGATTCCTCCACAAAGCACCCTTGTCCTGGTGCTGCACTCCAAGAAGGAGGTGGGGGTAATATTGGGGGACATGGAATCTGGAACCCCCTTTATAATAGTGAGGTGTCCAGACATCTGCCCTCTCCCAGGAGAATGAGTACAGAGGTTCATTAGTACCCGATTCCCTCAAAGAATTAAAGTGTTACTAAATTCAAAACATTAAAATAACAAACATATTATACTCACCTGTGCAGTACCAGTGGTATTGCACAGAGCAGCCCTGATCCTCCTCTTCCCGAGTCCCCCACTGGTGATTTTGGCTCCTCTTCTTCTTCATGTGTCCCCATAGCAAGCTGCTTGCTATGCAGGCACACAGTGTCTGCACCCTCCCTAGCTATATGTCTATGGAGCCGCACTCCATAGACTTACACAGTGGAATTTCGGCCCACTCCCTCCTCACTGCATTTGATTGACAGCAGCAGAAGCCAATGGCTCCTGCTGCTGCTCGCATGCTGGGTGAAGTTGGAGAGAGTAGAGAATAGATGCAGCTATGCACAGCACTAGAACTATTCTCCCCTCTCTTCCCCTTCACACAGGGAAGGGAGGGGGGGGGGGGCAGAGAAGTAGAAAACCTTTTTTACATTAAAGCTGGGAATGTATTAAGGTAAAAGCATTTTTAGGTTTAGTATCACTATAAAAGTACATAAATGCACTCCTAAAAAAGTCCTTTAATTAGAAAACAAATTTTGAAAGGTGTAAAGTCACACCACTCACATTGTGCAGCAATGCAAATCCATTGTAAATTACAGTGTCCAGCAATGTAATTCCAAATCCATCACTAAGACCCGTCATCCATCAATGTGTGAACATTGTATTTTTTCTCATGACAGATCCACAGTACAGTGGTAATTTAAAAATACTGTCAGTGATCCCAAGTGATGTCATCAGCCAGAGTTTAAAATGACAAAAGCACGCTAAAACGATATAGCATTTTGCAGCTATTCCTTTGCCAAAGCTCACATCTTAATCCATTCATCCAGCTCATGGGTCTCCTTTAAATTTTACTGGTGCCTTCTACTGTGTTCTGAAATGCCATGAAGGTCATCAAGAGGAACCAATAAAAGCAGTGGGGGAACCAGGAGATCAACATTCCCAGTAATGTAGGTTTCCCAGCAGATATTGGAGGATAATTTCTACTAAATGGAGCAGCATTTGGTGGCACAAGCATACATTCTTTTCTTTTCAGAGATAAGAGCAATTTTATTATTAGTTTTTCATGAAAGGTTCACTTTAAACAAGGGTAGAACCAGTGTTGCCAATATACAGTGTAATAAGCATTGCTATAATTCCAGGCATGGTATATTTATATTTTTACATGGCTATTTTGGTCCAGCTTGGACCAATGTAACTATGTATATACCATACCTAGCTGATATCCCAGGGAGCTGGAAATAAAAAAAAAAAATACTGCTATGCTAATTATCTCCATTTGTTTCCAGATCCCATGCATTGCAGCCAGCCTGGTGCATTGTGACTAGAGAGGGTTGATCACTCAGCACAGGTGCAATTCAGAAAATGTTTTGCATTTTCTGAATGAATGTAAAGCATTCTCTAATTGAATAAGATGAGCAGCATACTGTCCCTGCCCCACCTCTCCATTCTCCATCTCATCCAATAGAGAACACTCTGCAATCATTCAGAAAATTTGCTGAATGGTGCCCATACTGAGCAGCCAACCTCCTGTGCTCACGATGCATCAAGTGGGCCACTCAACATGAGACCCGAAAGCATGTGGAGATCACTCAAGTGGTGGTGTTTGCTTCAGTGATTTCCAGCTTCCAGGGACATTGGCCGGTTATGGTATATACATATACCCATGTGGAACCAGTATAACTAAGTAAAATATACCATGCCTGGTTATCTTCTTTTACAAACCAAAAGTCACCAACAAAAACAAAACAGTCTTATAGAAAAGGCCTAATAGTAAGTTTGTTTTCACAGAACAGATTGCAGTTGGTTTCTTAAACTACAATGAACTCACGTAATATGGCCATTTGTGATACGTGCTGTGCTTAGCCAAGTCTATTTTGAAAATAATGTACCTGTGGACTATAGATCCATATACACATAATAAATAATACAATTTTAATATTAGAGCCTATGTTTTAATTAGAGTTCCCATTGCAATGATTCCTTTCCACTCAACCCAGGTGTTCTATTCATTTCTGGCTCAGCTGCTATGCAGACAATTGGGTGAAAATAATTGGGAGTTTGTCTGACCTGAGAAATTAGAAAACAGGTGAGGAAATATCATATTATTTACAGCAGATGAATGAGAATAGAACAGAGATGATTATAATGAATGGTAATCATATTCCTATAGTAAGACTTAAGCTCCCTAGAGAGTGAGGGGAATCAGTTTTACTCCAGTCCACTGCCATAATGGATGAGGAGCTGGAGCATAAACTGATAGTGATGAAAGAAAAATTGATTAGCTCAAATCCAATTAAACTCTTTTTTTGTCAATAATTGTTTAAGTAGGAGACCTTTTAGGGCGTATGATGTCTATGAATAGTCCACATCTGTGCAGGGATATTCATATGTAAGGGATATGCACTGAAGTGTTATAACCACCATTGAAATATGTTGAATGTTGAGTTGCTGTGGGGTTTAATTGCTTCCTGCCTTGTTCAGCACAGCTATGCTGTGCCTATGCAGGTTTGCCTCGAAGGGTTGTTGGCACAGAGCTTTCCAGCATATCTGCACACT